TGGGGCGTCCGGGGCGAGGAGGGCGGGGTCTTCGAGGGAGAGGGCGCCGAAGGCGGATTCGTCGAAGGGTTGCGGGGGTATGGTGGTGGAGGGGGATTGGGAGATTGGTGGGAGGGTGGAGGAGAGGTCTGGGATGGAGAACGAGGTGGGGTGTTGGAATTGTTGGCTGGGAGATGGGGAGGGGTTGTGCGAGGTCGAGGAGGGTAGATAGTTCTGATGAAATAGGACGCGAGTCAGGATCTAACTTGAATCAACGGCAACGGACACGAACCGAGCTATGAAAACTGGCTGAGCTCGGCATGCGTGAAGACAGGCGCTGTTCCTGGGAACGCATCGACCCCACCGAGCTCCCGCTGCTGTCCGTACTGAACCCCAGGTCCAGCTCGAACTCTGATCTCCGGGACGCGGTGCTGGAGCGGCGGAAGCCCATGTCCATAGACATACCGCTCTGCTGATACGGGTGTGGGTGCAGACTGTGGCGGTGGTCGGGCATCTTCTCTGACACGCGCTGATGAGTACATATGCCATTTGGCATGAGAAAACACACCTTCGGCATATCGAGAGTGTGAATCCCATGCTCCAGAGGCGCTGGAACCGCCCCATGCAGGCCCTCGGATGTCAGGGTATGACGACGAGGAGGAGGCTCCGAGCCCGACTTGCTCCCCCGTCCTCCTCAGCAAATCCGCGCGTACACGGTATCGACTCGAAAAGTCGCTCGGTTCGCCAGCAGTCATTGGTCGCTGTACCTGCTGACCGTGTCCGTGGGTGTGGTGATGAGGTAACGAGGGCGGTTGCGCATGGCCCTCGGCGTAACTGGGAGGGAACATGAAACCTGAGTCTGCAAATAGATTATCGGCCATAGAGGGTACCGACAGTGGCATGAGGTTGAGATGAAAGTCATCTCGGGTGCCACTGGGATAGCGAGAGGACGAGGAGGAGAGGGACGACTGTGAAGACGCGGAGGAGGATAGTCCGGGTAACGAGAGGGATGAGGAGAGACTGTCGGGTGGAGAATGGATGTGGTGGCCTGGGCCAGCTGGAGCGGTCTGGCGATGGAATTTGACAAATGTGCAACGAAGTTTACGTTGGGCACATTTGGCTATCGTAAAATATAACATAGATTAAAATTGAGGAAATAACATGAGTATTTCCGACTCACAACATGGATTACAACCATCACACGGCAGACTGTTCTGCACACACTGGTCACATGCTTGTTTTGAAGTCGTAGCTCGCGATGTCGACGCGGATCCCTTCCTTCGAGCTCCCGAGGGCGGAAGCAGTGGTTTTTCATTTGCGTGGCATTTGTTGACGTGTCGAGCGAGAAGATCACTATCAAAAACGAAGTTCCAACACTATTCGGGGCCCCAACTTCTAATAAAAATGATAACGCACCTGCGCGCAAACTGGTCCCCACAGAACTGACACTTGTAAGGCCTGTCGCCAGTATCTAGAAAGATAACGAAGAACACGTATCAGCAGGCCGAATTTGGGCACGGTTGAGGAGAGCGAGGAAGAAAGGAGCGCGGTGGAGCAACAAATGCCCCACGCCCCGGGCAGACGCCAGCCCCACAGGAAATGAGAGAAGATGAACTTACGCGATCTCATGTGGCGTGCGACATGTTGGGGACGAGTAAAGGTAGCCTGGCAGACTGGACATTTGTGGTCTCCTCCCATTGTGTAAATCGGAGAAGATGAAGTTGGTGGTAGAGTAACTTGGGAGTGAAAGAACAGGAAGGAGAGCATGCATGACCCCCCTCGGAGGTAGATATCACTTCCGGCCGTATGCCCGGAAGCCCCTACGTCATTTCCCATGACAACGCCTGTCCAATGCTTCCATCATCAATCCATATATCCGTCTCGCGCTAACCCTTCCGAGGAATCTTCATTGTTTCCTGAAACGAAACTTGGTCCTTTCAATGTAGAATGTATCAGTTTATGATAACAATTGAGGTCTCAAGTATGGATGTATGAAGAGCTGTATAAAGAAGACAGTGACGTATGAGAGATCTGGCGGAGATCAATAATCACCAAATTGACGTCATCGTACAAAACGAGGGTGCAAACTATATTGAGCGCTCTTCCTTGATCTTGATATGGAATCCCCCTCATCGACACGCCAGAACCGCATTCCCCAAAACACACGAAATCCGTGCTGTCTTTATTGAGAGACATCGTGCACGACCTCACCAGCACAGGTGGCACAGGTATTCATCCGTATATATTGCGGATATATGTGCCTACACGCAATTAACAGCCGATGGGGGAGAAGAAGCCTAACGACAGTGATGTCAAGTTCTTTCGATGTTCACAACAAATTAATTTTCCTGAGCTTCGTTCTCCTATAGTCTCCTATCCTGAATACAAAAAACATATCTGATGCTGATCTCGCTTTGCCGACGCTGCGCCGACGGTGCCCACCCCTGCATCGAGGTCATCTGCGTCTGCGCCAAGTGAGGACGCCTAAACGCTGGACGACGATTGGCTCGGATACGGCGTCCATTCATGGGCACCGGTCTATCGCATCTGCCCTAATCCATCGCATCTGCATCGGCCGTACGCAACACCCATCTCCCATCCAGCACCCACTTTCCACTCGCAGTAATCGATGGACTTGTTCTCGTACTTGACGGAATCCGATGGAATGACGTCAATAACCCCGAAATAGCTAGACGCGCAGCATCGAAGATCTGTCATAAGTGGAAGTTGACTTTTTCGCGCACCGCAGATCCGACTCAATCCGACGGGACTCAGAATAAAACAAACAAAGCCACCGAGAGCTACCGTCACATCGGGACCTGTAGGCGCGACATGCGGGTGCGAACTCTAATCCACCCGAGCCTGACCAAAACTCAATCGGCCCCACCCGCCCCACGACCTCGCTTCGGCGTGAGTCAATTGTCACATCCTTCTTCCTCGTCCACTTCCCCCCCATGTCTTTGTCCTTACCCCTACTCATTCCCCTCTCTTGATGACAGACATGGGCAAAGATGGATGGCCGGACCCACAAGACGCTGAGCCCATATCGCATTCCATTCTCCGGGATCAGCGGAGATGGTAAGCGTACATATGTTCTTCTTTTATAAAATTATATCCGTCCTTGTATTTAGAAGCCTGAAAGGTATGTGGGTTTTTTTCGATTTCATATCATTCAAGACGTCAGTTGACCTTCCGTTCTCAGGATCCATATTTCCGTCGTTTCACTCTCATTTCCATCGTGCAGGGTCGCCGTGCGAGACGACGTGGACGGACAATTGTTGACGACGTACTCGACACGGCTTACGTTTTTCTGGCTTCGATAGATCGGCGGAGGCGTCAGGGGACTTGCCTTAAAAATTGACGCCATCGTGAGGAGTGCTCACTGAATATTGACTGGAGAGCCCAAACAAGTTAAGGGTCGATTTTGGTTCGTTATTCCCCCCACTCACCGTGATACCCATTCACAGCTCCTGTATGAAGGGCCTCCCTGCGCGCTTGTCATTATCTCCAGACATGATAAGGCGACTCTACTCTAATAATTATCCCCGGAAGATCCAAAATAGATCCAACATGCAGCATTCTATCAGTTCCGCGTGCGGCAGGCCGCACGGGCGCGCAGGAGTACATACATAGGGCACGCATCTCGTCGTCCTCATCGTGGTGAGTCTTTCACATTTCCTCCTCGTTAAAATGATCTCATTGTTCGCATTGAAACAGTGCATCCCCAAATGACGTTAGGACTTCCACGTCACGCCACTATCGCCGATGATCAATATGCAGCATGCAGTACATAGATCACAGATAACTATAGATCTTGATGTCACCTCTGTATGTATTTCCATTCCCAGAATATTATCATTTTCCCTGTTAGGGAGCGCTGGACAGTGATACTCAGCGGCGACCACGACGTGATATTCAAAAATCTTATGTCCCTGCACGGCTTGAAACATCTGGTTGAGCTTTCGACTTCTGGGCACCGGTTCGGCCATAGTGACGACGTGAATTTAGGGGGGCGGTTCCCATGTCGGTGTGAGCTGTCACGAAAATGATCGCAATGCTTCAGCGGCGCGCTGGTAACAACGCCACTTCAGACGGTGGCGGCGACAAGATTTTAGGCGACATTGTACTAGCCAGGAGAAGACATCGAAAGCAGTGACACACTCGATGGTGACTGGCTCGAACGATAGTAGAATCATGGATAGGTCCACTGTGATGGGTCCAATATTCCACCTTTCGCTCTTCACTCAGAGCACGAACAGATGGAGGTCACGGGTGTGTACTTTACCAGGGCTCCATCCAGTGGTCGCATGAACATTACATATCAGAGAAGCGAGCAGCACCTAAATTAAAGCTGTGCTATGATCCAGTGGAGATCGTTACACATGATCTGCTTTAGATATCTGCGTGCGTGCGAGGGCTGAGATATCACTGACGTCAATCGAGGTTCTGCGAAGGCGCAGTAGGAGATGGCGTCAGACAGAAGCCAGTCTTCGTGGAGGACGGGGCTCAGGGCTCAGCGCATGCCGTCAGTGCGGCAGCGGCAGAAGCACCAACTCGTATGTTGTCCTTGCACGAGACACATCACGAACGCACGCGGCCGGTCCATAACCTCATACGTTCTGCCTCCACGTGTCCGAATGTGGGCAGTAGGGGATACGCCTCCTGCGCCTGACGTCAGCGGAAGGAGATGGGAGGGTATATCAAATCACCGGGAGGGGAGTGTGTGAACCGGTGAATAAAGTGTGGAGACATCGTGGCAGAATGCTGAGATCGATAACAGGAGTGTATAGCCGCCGACTTGCAGATGACCTGTCAGGGGGTCGAAGGGCAGGCGCTGGGGAGTCGAGGTCGATTGTGAATGTGTAGCGGGACGGGTACGAGATTGACTGGACGTATATTGTCAAAACGTTGGCATAAAAGATAGCCACAAATCGTTCCCTAAGAATGTTAGCGCAACAAACTCGATTGGAGGTGACGCAGGCAGGAACGGCGAGGATCAAGGATCAACGAAAGTGCAAAAATTCCCTCTAGCCGACTTGAACGACTGACCTCGTCATATTTTTTTTGGCAAACAAATCTTTTATACTAGTGACGCGCTCTACCACTGAGCTAAGAGGGATTTGCTCTTATACAGTCAGAGGATAGACAGGGTCTTAATGGATTTATTCGTAAGATATCATCGAAGGCGACTATTCGGGAAAGGCTTCGACGATCTCAACATCAGGGTACATGAAGGAGATCACAAACAGGCTTACTGGAGGGCCTTTATTCAGAGATCCAGGACAAGAGAGCAGTCAGCAAACCCCCATCTTCTCTCAAATGACGTGAATGCGTGGGATGGGTGTCCAGGTCTCTCTGAAGATAAAAACTGTAATGAGGTAGGGGAGAAACTCACAAACTACTTATGTCGCTCAGTTGTTATAATGACCACGCTCGTGATGTAGTGTTTATGTACTGTTCAGCGGCATCAAGTTCGGGCTGGGGGGGGCGTCTTCTGCGGGACATTTGGAACCGTGTTGCATCCTATCAGTGATACGGGACTCGGGGGTAAGCACGGACACTCTGACCGGCGAGCCAGCTTCCGCCATAATGTTGTTCAGATACATGGCAGCGGGGGAGTAGTCGTACACGGGGAGGAAGATTGAACTGCGGCCGACAAATGAGTGTATTAGCGATATGAGACAAGCAACACAGGGCAGAAGATAAAATAAACAATATAACAAAGGCTAAGGAGATCGTTAGGAGGGGACATATCTACAGGAAAAAAGGAAGGTCGAGACGACAGCACATAAAATGAATTCACGGACAAAGGGAAATCCAAGGAGGAACAAACGCAAAAGCAAAAAGACACGAAAAGAGTAAAGACTCCACGGGTGAATGAACCATTGGTGTACCCCTGGGATTCGCTGCACCGGCAACGGAGGCCAGTATACAACTACGCATGCACAGGAGAACGCCGCGACGAGCTAGGTCGGCGGATGCCAGGGTGAGTCATAGGCGCTGTCAACGATGGGCCCAGCGTGCTAGGGAAGCAAAGAGGCATTACATAACGATGTGTGATAAGCAGCACAATTTTCAAGAATTGAGCCTGGTAGCTAGCTGTCAGTGGCCGTCACATTCCAGTGGAGATCGCTTGACGACAGAAGAGAAGTCAAAGAAGAGAAATCCGGCTATCTCCGAGGACCCTGTCTGATGGCGGTGTGGTACATTGTCCGAGTCTGATCGTTGTCATCAACGACGACGACCCACCATCGGCCAGAGAGCCAAGGCCCAAAAAATAGCGTATACTGGTCCCAAGAATGATCCTCAGGCCCCAGCCTGCGGGTCATTGTTGCCCACCCCACTCGAAGTGGCGGCCCTATATTCTCCTCCATCGTCTATTTCCAGGCAATGGAAATCTGTAGAGGACGGCATTTTGCAAAACCCTGCACTCACCTCCTTAATGCAGATGCCCTACCTCTTGTCCTCTACCTTCCGTTCTACTCGCAGGGCTCTATCCACCTATGCCGCATACGTCGTTCTCAATTACATGTGTCTGCCATGATCGTATGACCAAGTCGACAATTTCCTGCACGGGGTCCTGCCTAAAAGTTGAATTGTGCGCGTTGTGGTATCTATCATTCTACCTCCACTGAGAGTCGGATCATGTGGCCATCCATCGGTCTCTCTTGCTTGAGCCATTGCTGGCCTATTCAACTTCTTAGTGGAGTGGGTGCTGCTATATTCGTTATAAGACTTTGAAGGTTGAAGGTATGCTTCGCCCTTCCTGCATGCCATACAGCTCATGCGGATAAAACCTGTCACGCACCAGGTAGGTTCTCTCGAAGTCGGGGATGTTGGACCTGTGCCCGCGATTCTACCCATGTGCTATATACGAAGCGTTCGTGTAGGTGTGTGTCACCCCCCTTCTTCCTTTTTGTTACCAAAACAGCTCAACCATCAGTCTTGGAGGCCCCGCCCCCCCACACGATTCTCAATCAGGGTACGGGCGGCGGAATGGGAGCACTTTTCCCTATGTGTTGCTCATCCGGCTGCGGATCCATCGTCAGTGCAAACCATTGTCGCTTGAATATATTTGGGGAACCACGGCGTAATGGGCTTTGTATCTCAAGAGATGTAAAGGCTGACAGCCCGTCTCTATGTAATCTTACGACGAAGACGGCAGTTCCACGTGCGATCACCATAACTGAATTTACTTCTTGGCTGTGTGTCTAGCCGTTGTTCTAGGAAGCCCGACTAGCCAGGATATAGGCTAGAATTTGAATTGCTTTTCAATAGGCGCGACTGTTTGCCTGCTCTCGGACCACACGTCACAAAACTTGGGGACAAACAAACTCAGTTGTCTTTCTTCTTTCCATCATCTCGTTTGACCCGAACTGGCACCTTGACGACCCCTGCATAACACGATGCATGGTACGATTTTGCTGATCGTTTGCCTTGGATTTGCACATGCTAATAGTTATCTGCGGCAGACGTGGTTCTGCTCATCACGCCACATGCCGCAGATGTCAATGAATACCTGTAACCTTGTTCTGTACCCTTGTTCTTCTCTGACCCCAGGAAGACAAGGACAATGGAAATCCTATATTCGATTTCACTGGATCAGAATTCTTTGCCCAGAATCTCCCAGAGTTGGTTAATAGTGTCAAAAGCTCTTATAGGAAACGGACCACGGTGTTTGTTAGAACAAACTCTTTAAATGACTGATACATTAGGGCTAGTTTCAGCTTTCCGCGAACGGTCGCTACAACTGCTGATAAACTGCTGATATTATTTTTCCTTCGACTCGCATTGTTGGCGACCGTCACACTCGGATTTCTGGTTACAGGTATGAGTATGGCACCTAAAATCTACTCCGGCCTCGTCACTCCTATACAGTTTGATAAATCTTGTAAATTGTTTTACATGCGAATGCCGCTGAATATGCTCGTGGGCGGCCTAAAAGAACTGTCGCGTTGTTTGCGGCAACAAGACGTCATTTGGAGCAACGCGATGGTTCTTTTACTCTCCTTCCTGTGACCGTCAGATGTGAGTTCAACCCGAACTTCGGCCTCATTCACATTGCCACGCACCATATCGCCGAACTAACTCGAATTCTACAGGAAGTCATTTTAGACTTACTCGAGAACTATCTGGTCGATCAACAGACCCTTCCTGCATGCGCCCTTTCAGCTCGCTTCCTTCGCAACCTATGCTAGCAATTTATCTTAGAAATAGTCATAGTTGTACGTACACCGACAAGGATGCCAGGAACTAAGCACTCGACGAATTCCTCAGTAAGGACTCTACTATTGCCGTCACTTGCCCCTTTTCCCAAATTCGCCAGTTGAAACTCCATGCGATCACACTTAGTGCTGATGATGTTGCCAACATCGTCGAGATGGTCTTGCTCTTCCTTTCTTCTGTGCGCGTCACAGTAGACTACAGCACCTGTCCGATACGCCTTCTGCGCCTATTCCAGGCCAATGGATTTCGTGAAGAGCCCCAGCTCCATACGACTGAAGTTGGCAAACCGCGGCCTGTACGTTGCAACATCCACATTATCACGCTCTTCTGTCTGCACATCTGCAGACAGTTATTGGATACCTCTGATCTGAGCACTTTGCGTACTCTTTCTGTCACACTTCACCGTGATACGTACAATCAACAAAGAATGAGTTCCTTGCATCAGCCTCGCTCACCCGTATGTCAACTTCAACCTGTGGTACTGTCCTTCCCTTATCATTATCAATACCTCGCCAACCCATAGTCAAATGACAGATCCTTTGCTCCTCCTCCATCTGGTCTCCCTCACAAGTACATCAAATTTAGAACAGGTTGACTACATCATGGCCTCGCTTCGTCCCTTCGACATCCTCCACTTTGCATCCGATTCGCTGCAAACACCTACTGACGAAAGCAAATTACATTCCGTCAAGATAGTATTTGGCAGACGTGAATATGCCGAAGAGCGTAGCGTGACCACTTGGAAAAACATTGACCAGATTTTGGCCAACTGCGCATGATTGGAGAGGCTTTACACCTGTCAGAATGGGGAGACCTGTATATTAATACCACGAGATACGACAGGTGTCGCCCAGGGAAGCTTTTCTGCAGCGAGAATGTATGAGCTTGGATAGGAAACATCGTCTTTTGTGGCAAGACAAATGGAGCAGATGCTGAGGAGTGCTGGATACTGTAACTGGGAAGATAATTAGGCAAAGGTTCCGAGTCCTGATCTGAGATGGAGTTCTGAGGACTGTCTCGCGTATTGACATATTCCAGCGGCGCTTGTGGATACAACGAGCTATGGCATCTTTTGATTGAGACCAAGGAAATGGAGTTAGAGATGTAAGCAAGTGATTGAAAAAAGACCATTGCAATATCAGGAATATGCATTAAGAGGGAATCGAACCCCCGGCGGGTCGACATAAATCAAGCTTGGACTTCAATATGATGGCAACGACCCAGGTTACCACTACCCCATTAATGCGTCGCAAGTTCTTTACGAGTTCAATTCACCAGAGATCCTGGGTAAATAAATTGTTTTGGCGCGGTTCTGTTAGTAGCGGAAACATAGGTTGTGGATCAGCAGATGTATAGGTAATACTTGCCAATTATAAAGAGTATGATATATGATAGATAACCTTTCACCGAGGCTCGACCCGCCTGGAGATCGAGATACGCGAACAGGCGCTGGGAGTCAGACAATTTACTGTAGTAACATTTCAATTCCCAGTATCGGAAAGCTGCGGGGCGCTTGGGTGGACGGGGGCATGGGGGAGGGGTCCTTTCTGCAAGGACTGTTACTGCATATCTGTGGATGTCCGTGCTCTCGAGCAGGGTTGTGGTGTGGCACCTAGATCCATCATCCAAGCTAGACGGGTGTGTAGATCCTCCCATTCGGTATGCCATTTAAGACTTACCTATTCGTAATTGTTAAGTGAAGGAAACACGTACGTTCGAGTTGTGGAAGGAGACACTGAGAATAGATGTGTGTATGGACGGGCTTCAGTGGGGATCAGATCATTAAAAGAAGTCGGGTTAACAATACCCATGAACAAAGTATCGAGATTCGAGAGACGGGTATAACCTCGTATTTCTATACCCAAATATCCTAAACCGACCTCGCACTGGTGGTGGACCGACTCAGGCAGCGGCTACACGTGATGTCGTTTAGGGAAACTCAATGCTTCAAGCATTCGAGTGAGGGCTTGCCTACCATTCGTTCTAACGGTATTTCACGGTGCCTTTCGCCGTCGATTTCCCCCGATTTTCCTATCTTTGAGGGGGTACCTGTTAGCAAACTGCAACGATTCGTTGGAGGGAAAGCTTTTTATGGTCTCGCCCGCCATCGAGGATCCCGGATTGTCATTGCTGTGAGCGGAGTAACCGTGCTCTGGGGAAAAGTCCTTGGCAAGGATATTGTCATAAAGGGCAACTAGACCTTTACCGGTGAGTGGAATTCTAGATCTCCCATTCGCTATTCGGATGAAGGCTTACCTCGCAAAACTTTCATCTCACAGGCTCTCGAGGACAGTTTCGAGTGGCATACGCGTAACAAGGTATGTATTCCCGCTGTGAAAAAGAGCCTCGGGGTGGGCCTCGATGTACTTCAGGAGGCGGGTATCAGACCTGTAAAAGTCCACCCACCCGAGTACTGTATCGAGAACGCCCTCCCTGACAAGAGGGTCGTGCGCTAAGCCCCTCACGAAATCGTTCCTTCGAGACGGAACAAGTGGTCCACATGAACTCGCAATCCGAGACGGACAGTGGTTATGGCGGCTCTAGGCTATGAGATGTTAGTCAGGGACAGTGTCCGGGATCGGGGTCTGAAGGACAGGGGTTCCTTACTTCGAATTTCACATTCGGACAGACGCCACGAGGTGACACTTTGAGCATCGGAAGAGGGAGAGAGGGAGGGGATGAGGAGCACCCAGTCGTCGGGAGGGTTACTGTAAGGTCTCCGGCAGGGGGGAGGCCCGAGGAACGGGTGATGTCGTGCGCTTCGATGCTGGGCCACTTAAAGGATGGCTTTCAGTCAGGCATCTGATGGAAGATTTGAGAAGTACACTCACCTTGACGGCGGAGATCGGACGGAGAGGTTGCGAAGCGCACGAACAAAGGCAAAGGGACGTGGGAGCCCTGCACGGGGCGTATATACTATATTGGAAGTGGGCAGGTTCAGAGATGATGTTTCTTGAAATCAGCTCGTGCCGGCATGACGCATGCAGAGGATCTGCACAAGTAAAGAGGCTACACAATGCAAATATCTTGAGCACAGATGACAAGAGCTCGACGTGAAGCGAAGGACGTCCGGTCGGTCGGGCTGGCTGCTCCGTTCGCCGCTCCAATCAATTAGACGCCCAATATCCCGGCCGATCGCTTACGTCACCCCTTGTCATCTTCATCATCGTCCCCATGTCATCGCCAAACTTCTCTCATTCTCAATAACGAATTTACTTTCTCCCTTCTACCCCCACCCCTTCCTTCTTCACCACACCACCAGCGCACGATGACCGCGATCCACATCGATCCCACATCGTCTGCGCTACCAAAGTTCGATAATATCGAGGAAGAGCTCGCTTACCTCCGCGCTGCGTACGCTGAGCTCCAGGCGCTTAAGAAACAGGTGAACGATGCTGAACGCGTCTGCGAGGCCGTCGCAAGGGGGGATTTAAGCCAGAAACTTGAGCATGGGGGCAAGGGAACATTGGGGAATGTGGTGAATGGGATGGTGGAGAACGTGGGATTGTTTGCGAGGGAGGTAAAGAGGGTTGGGTTGGAGGTTGGGACGGAGGGGTATGCGCTCTATATCTCTTCTCCTTGCCTTATACTGAGACTTGCGTATCGTTTTGTAAAGAAAATTAGGTGAACAAGTCCAACTTCCTAACGCTCAAGGCGAATGGCGTGAAATCACGGATGTAATCAACGAACTTGCGTCAACCCACACCTCAGTCGTACGTCCCCCTTCCCCTCCCTCCGTATCCCATATTCCACTCACTAAACTAACCCCTTCCTTAACATAGGTCCGCGCCGTCGCCGAAGTAACAAGGAACGTCGCGCTGGGCAATCCCTCCGTACGAATCGAACTCCATCTTCAGGGCGAGGCGCTGGATATGCAGAATAGTGTCAATGGGATGGCAAGCCGGTGCGTGTTCTCCTACGTACATCTATTTCATTTTGGGTTCAGTTTTTTTTAAACTTTTGGATTGTGTGGTCATTTGAGGATGGGCACGGTTTATTCTACTATACTCTTTTCGAAATCTGCCCCGCCAGCTTCACTTCCTTCTCACTTAGTCTTGGCATCTCGACCCATCCTTCGCCCCTCTCTTTCTCATTTCAATTTCTTGTTCCTTTCTTCTCCTTCTCACCTTATCCCCTCAACCTCAGTGTTCATTTCCTGTGTCTTCAAATATCTCCTCCCCGTTCCTCTCTCTCTCTCTCTCTCTCTCTCTCTCTTGCTTTCCCTTGCTTACTGCTTGTTTCGTTCTTTCTACTCTCTATGTTATTCTTTTCCCTCACTCCTCTTTTACCTCGTCCTAACCCCCCTCCTCTCCGCACAGGCTCCAAATAATGGCAGCCGAAATAATCCGCGTCACGCGCGAGGTTGCATATCAGGGTAAACTCGGAGGACAGGCGACGGTACCGGATGCGGAGGGGGTGTGGTTTGAGGTTGTTACGCGTGTACGTGATTACCCCTCGTCCTTTTCCTTCGGTTTCATCGCCTTCTTCCCCCTTTCTTTGGTTTTCTCCTCTCCTCCCTTTCTCATCTTCTCCACCCCCCTTCGTCTTCACCCTTGAGTAATCAAGTGAGTGTAGGTCAACCACACGTGCACAATCCTCACGGACCAGGTGCGCTCCATCGCGAATGTCGCTACCGCCGTTGCGCGTGGGGATTTGACGCAGAAGATCGAGTTGAGTGTTGAGGGGGAGATGAGTTCCCTGAAAGGTGTGGTTATGTTTTTCGTATTTCTTTTTCTCGTTTTTGCACCACTATTCCACACTTTCTTGGTGTGCCTTTTTCGACTTTCAACCCCTTCATATTTTATGTATTTATCTGCTTTCCTTGTTCTTACCGAGTACCTACCTCCCCAACCGCCACTACCATTGTTACAGGCCTTTCGTACCTTCCCCAGAGATCCTTCGTTCCTTTTGTTTTCATTAACACTTCGCCGTTTTCAGTGCGTACTGCGCCTGGACCCCATTCACTATAGCTATACCCACTACATTTCGTATACCCTCCCTGTTGTCGAAACTATCGGTACCGGCGCCTCCTTTGATCTTTGATCTTTATCTTCCTTATCCACATCCTTTCTCTGCTCATGCTGCTTCTCCTGTACTATCTGCTTACTCTCTGCTGCTTCGTTTCACTTCGCTGTATTTTTCGCCTCCACCCGCTTTCATGCGTTTCGTGGTGAAACGCAAGACATATGTGCCCTATTACTTTGTACTGTTACTTACAATCGTCTCCCCTTGTCTTCTCGCCTTGTGTCTATCCCATCCCATGTTGTGACCCACTTCCCCTCCACTTCATCCTATCCCCTCCCCCCTACATTCCTCTTCCTCCACCTGATCCGTTACACGAGCTTGCTGACTCCCGAACAGGTACTGTAAATTCGATGGTGGACCAATTGTCTGTACTCGCGTCCGTCACGACACGTGTGGCGGTTGAACATAGTACAAAGGGGTTGCTTGGGGCACAAGCGAAGTGTGAGGGTGCCCAGGGCTCGTGGTCGGAGTTAATAAGGGCTGTTAATGTGGGCATTTTTTCCTCCTCCCTTTTTCATCCCCGCTTACGCCTCTGCAGAAACTGGCCTCAAACCACAAAAACATCATACGCTCCGTCCACCATGTGGTAAAGGCCGTCGCGCTCGGGAACTTCACGAAGAAGCTCACCATCGACGTGCCACCCAACACCGAGACATCCGATTTGAAGCACGCCGTGAACTGGATGGTGTCTTCCATGAGCACCGTAGTAGACGAGGTGACGAGAGTGAGTTTGGAGGTGGGGTCACAGGGGAGGCTAGGGGGACAGGCAGACGTGCCGGATGTGCAGGGGATGTGGAAGGTGTGAAGTTGTGGTCGTGGTCGTTACTTTGGGCGATTGAGAACTTATTCAATTGATGCAGGTACTCATGGACAGTTTTAACCTGATGGCCGCGAGCATCACGGCCCACTCGCGCGCTGTGCGGGGGGTGGTCAAGGCCGTCGCGGGTGGGGACCTGACGAAGAAGATTGTGTACGACGCGAGGGGCGAGATGCTCGAATACAAGGAGACACTGAACAGCTTGACCGAGTCCCTAAGTGTCTTTGCGAACGAGATCACGGGGGCTACATGGGAGGTCGGCACAGAGGGGAAACTTGGGAGCCAGGCACGGGTGATGTGAGCTGGAGGGAGGTGCGAGGATGTGGTGGAGAGTGCTAATGATTTGGCTCACAATGTATGTGTTCCATTGATTTCGATCCCTTTTTTTTGGGGCCGGGGCTGAC